AATCCATTACATTCACTTACATGCTAATACCCTTGAGAAAGGTATGAATCCTCTTCTTCTCCCACCAGCTATGGGTAAATAGCAAGACATGCTTGGATGGCAACTGGTCTACTGCAGAAAGAAATGACAACCTACTGCAGGAAAAATCTGTCTCATCAGTTATGTATCGAAAGATACATGATCATCTAAGCATGTACCACGCATGGCACATAACTGACTGATTTTTACTCCTTCACTTAGAAATCTTAACTCTCTGAATACCTGAAGTCACTAAACAACATTTCAGGCATTATTATGATTTTATAAAGGCTACAAACAGATGAAAATTGAACTTGCACCCTATATGATGTCTTAAATGATATTATATGACCAAAGTGATAGGTTTTTTTTTTTTCCAGATCTTTTGCAGTTATGACAAGGAATAGTAAAAAGGTGAAGGACTACTCAAAATTAATAAAAAAAAAAAAATGTATAATGGTTGATTCCAATCTTAGTAGGAATGACTGCAAAACACTTTCCCCTCTCCCAATTTCTAGGCAGAAGCACACAAATGTATGCTGGGATTTTTTCCTAGCCAATAAAATAAGCAAGTTCTTGGTCTCATCTGAATCAGTTCTAGTCCGTCTTGTCTTGAAGTCAGAATGCTACGTTCTGCCTTTGCTTGTTCAAACTTGCTTTTGTGAATTTTTTGTCGTATTATTGTTGCTTTACCTTATTACTGTTAATTTGCCTTGCATATATTGTTTGATTGTTTTATATTATTCGTTGTGCTGTTCTTTTCTTTTTCTGGTAATTGTTTATTGCAAGCTTTGTCAAATCTGATTGTTAGGCAGTTCTGCCATTCATTTATTTTACATTTAACCATGGCTACTCGCTCTACATTTAATAATGAAGAAAATTATTTCAAACTCTCATGACAATAATTTTTTATTTTCAAGAATTATTTTTCATTCTGTTCAATAGCTGGAATAGGACATTTAAACCTTTCAGCCTCCCTTAATTTTCCCCTAATTTAAACTTTTAAATCTTCATAGTTCATTTAATGAAGTATTAATTGACCCATAATAAACTTAGCTCTGATTGACCAACTAGTCATCAATACAACTAGTAGATTTAAGTTCATTAATTTTGTGAAATAGCAATTGTGAGTTCGATCCTTGGGTTGAGCAGTGAGTACTTAGACTCAGTGGTATCTAGACTTTATGTATCTAAGCGCAGTACTAGATTGGCAGCAAGGTCTCATCATTATACAGTTGAAATAGCAAAAGATGTAACTGTAAGTTCTATGCTAATAGTTTCTTCTCTCACACTTCTCACTTGTGGAACTCTTTTTTGGTTTCTTGCTTCCTAGTCAACTTTGATCTTCAAAAATTTAAATACAATGTCAATCATTAGCCACTGTCTTCTTAATGTTTGTTCTTTTAATGTTCTCTCTACTTAATAGTGTTTTTTTTTTTTCACATATTCTCTCACACTCAGTAACTCCTTGCATCTTGGTGGCTTTATTGACTTGCTTGGGGTGAAATAATTAAAAAAAAAAAAAAGGACAAGCAATAACTTGTAGGACTAAATATGAACTAGACATGGTCAGTGGGACCTGAAAAATCTACTGTTTTAGATTAAATAAAGGGTTCAGTTCAAATTTCCTGATCACGGTCAAAGGCCACAATGGCTAAAATACTGTGATAACAACAACAAGGATAAGGATGATAGTCTGCATGTAAATAATGATTTTAAATTAGTTATATATTTTGTGATTTTTAATTGATAGATTTTAATACTATGATAGCCAGGAATAAAATTGTGAATATCTATGAGGTCTTGTTGTCCCTTTTCGACTTTGAAGTTTGAAATGGAGAAAATAGAGGAATTTAGTTCTGATAATGACTTGGATTTCAGCATTGCATAATAGGAGTAGATAGGTTTGCCTATTGCCCAGTTCACACTTCATCATCGTCCTTTGAAAAGGAGAAGCAGTTTATCCCTTGTTTCCTGTTTAGGATTGGTTTACCAGTTCCTTCTCCTAAAGTCTTTTCATTCTCAATAACCTATTTTAATGGCATTATCGCCTTGCTTCAGGTAAAATAATTAAAAGAAATTAACAATACATTTTGCTTTTCATGAACTTTTATTGTATTTGATTTTCATGGAAATGGTCAAAACTAGATATTTATGAGTGTCTCCCTAAAGAAATATTTGGCCTTCATCGACTGATCAGCCAATGCTACTTTCAATTGTAATTTGTAAAATTTTTTACTTAAAACAATTTTTCAGGAAAGTTTCTCAAGTCCAGTATTGAAGGGGTTTCTTTCTTAAACTTTTGTTTTAAATAGTGTGGAATGTCAACATCATGATTATGTTATTATTTTTTCTTCAAGTGTGATAGCCATTTTAGCTGTTGTTGAAAGTTTTTGATTTATGATGCTGTACTTCCAGTCTGTAAGGTTTCAAGAAGGGTGATCCTCACTGAGACCTACTGATTACATTTGTTCAAACCGTTGATCTTAGGCTTGATCATGATATTCAGCAACTCCACATAGCCATCCGAATTGAGCCTGAGACCATGTGCAAAGGTGTCAGGTGGCATGGCATCACTCTCACTGGAAACACACCCATCACATCTGTTGTTCTGGGTGTTGTGCAGTTGATCCTGACAAAAATGCTTTTCATTAGAGAAGAACTAGATTGTCCCTGGTTCAACAGGATGTTTTACCTTTTTCAGGAGTTTCTTTGCTTTTGTCAGACGGTTTTCTCAATTCTTTTTTTTGTAAGAAGTTGACTGTTACACCTCTTGTATGACTAGTAGCGAAGGTCCTCATTCAAAGCCAGCTTCAGAGTGGAAATTGCATCACCCATTTCCTGTGCCAAAGCCCACATTCCCTTGCCTGAATCTTCCATCACTTTCTCTTGCAGTTGTTGGGTTAATTCTGGTGTACAGAGGCAACAGGAAAGTCTGACATTGTCTTCCCTGCAAGCCATGACGTCATAGTCTCTGTTGCAGCTCTCCATTTCATGTCTTATTGTTTTCACAGCTGCTCAAAGAGCATTGAGCAGCTGTCATGATTGTGGCATTTTGATGCCTGGCATGAATCATCATTTGGCTGCAGGTTACCCTTTTCCAATAATCAGGTAGCTTCCACCCATCCATGTCAGTTAACTTTGTGTTGTAGAGAAGTTTTCATAGTGGAGGCTTGTATTTCAATAAGTCATCCTAAATTAGGTTCGACGTAAAAAACGTTAGGAACTTGGAATAAGAGTTAATGACGCAGCAATCTAGTTGTGATGGTTGATACTTCAATGTTCGACATTGACTGATTCGCTCAACACCACTGAGCCCAACTGGTGACCGCTACTACTACTACTTATTATGTGTGAGAGAGTCTATTAATAATAGAATAGGTACGTCAGGTATAACACTTTGACACTTCTAAAATTGTAGTGACTAGGTTTCACAATGCAGTTCACTGTTTACAGATATTCCAAACCAATACGAAAAAATAAACACATTAGACTGTCAAATTTAACCTAATCACCCTGTCTGTTTTCAAAAACTCAGTGTTTCATTGCTTGTGGCTTACATTCCAGTAGTAATAAAAAAAATATTGAACAGTGATGACTAATGAAAATCTGAATTTCTGGGATGAGAAGGAAATTATCATAATTTATATTATTTACATTTTGACTAATGTCCTCATCTTTTTTGTTACTATCATAACATGTCAGCCACTGTGTTCTGCAGCCTTCTTCAAATGTTTTCATGGAATTTTGTACTGAATCCTAATGTCCCCATCTTTTTTGTTACTATTGTGGGAAAATTAAATAAAGCCAATAAATAAAATAATAATGAAGAATAAAATAATTTTTTTTCCCACGATGCAAGTTATAAAGAAACCAGAAAGGGTTTCTAGTCACATGTGCAATTTTATGGCACCAATTCTAGAAAGGACAGAATTTTCTCTTTTCCACTTTCAAACAAGATCATTTGGACATGTTTTCATGAAGTAGAGATTTGGCCATCACAACTCAGTATGAGGCTGACTTGAGCTCAACCATCTTTACCTGTTCTTATCCTTACTTCCCATAAATTATTTCTGAACAAAAAAGGAAATGCTCAAGAGACATTTAACTTTGTTTCAATACAGTCAATATAAAAGAAATAAACATCCATAGTAGAAACTATTCTTTATATGTTTCTTCTATCTTCTTTGTTTATATATTGAACACACACCATCACCTAAAAAATATACACAAACCCACAACCTTGTAAACATCCACACTATCATAACATGACAGCCATTGTGCTTTCCAGCTTTCTTCAAATGTCTTCATGGAATTTTAAACTGAATCCTAATGTCCTCACCTTTGTTATTGTTATCACAATGTTTCATTGTACCCTATAGCCTTCATCAGGTGTCTGTCGATCCAGATAATGTTCAGAACATTTTTATGCAATTTCCAATGCTGTGTTCCTTAATAATTTTACAATATTTTTGTCCTGTTTGTGGTGATTCTTTCTTACAATCTATGACAATCTTTATGTATCTAAAATTAAGTATTAAATATCAGTAACTATGCTATTAAGCATTTATTGTTAAAAACAAGGCATTTTGTGTCTATTATAATTAATGATCTTTTTTTTCTAATGTATAAATATCCTTCCACAAGAGTGCTTATTTTGGGATAAATTGGCCAGAATTTATGCTGTGTATTCTCAAGCTAACCACATTTGAAAAAAAGTTGAATGATTGATTTGTTTTCTACAGAATATCAACCCTTTGCAGGTTATTTAAAGCCATGAAAATTTTTTTTTTTGAGATAATAATAGTTTGTGATACAAGTCTTACTAATTAACAGAACTAGGGGGAGAAGAGGTGGATTCATACCTTTCCCCAAGGGTATTTGCATGTAAGTGAATATAACAAACCCAACTAAAATTGGAACTTAGTTCTCCAAATAACAATTCTGGTGCATTATCCATTATCCTAACCACACTTCTAAACTTACAGCACCTGGTATTTCCAAGCAGTCACTCATCTAGGTACTGACCAGGTTCAACATTGCTTAACTTTGGTGAATGTATGTGAACTGGTGTTTCCACATGATGTGACTGTAAGCCTTTTTGCAAAAGGATATTCTGACATTAGAAAAAAATAATTAAATGTTATAGACATAAAATGTCTATTGTTTTTAAAAGTATATTTTCAAAAGAAAACTGGCTGCCAAAATATATTGAGCTATACTATTATATATATTTATTTACAAAAAAATATACAACATTCAAGTTATTTAAGAAAATTTTACAACATCAAATAAGTTATAAATATTTCTAAAAAAAACATTTGAAAATCTGAAATTCACATGGTATATTTTGATATAAATATATCTTTAAAATCTTACCAATCTGGGTTAGTTAATACTAATTTTACTGTGTGAACATTGACTTGCATAATAAAATCTGATATTATGTATAATCACTAATGAGAAAATTTTAAAGATGTTTTTGTTTAATGATAAGATGGCTTTGAGAAATTATTTAAAAAACATTAGTGAAATCAGATAAATGAGTTAGTATAAGCTTTGTTTTTAGTGTAATTTTGACAACACAAAACTTTATTTCTCATCATCATTGTGAATAAAGAAACTGGAATAAATATAGAATAGAAAAATGTCTACCAATTGAAAGATAATCCAATAAAGTATAGATCTCTGGAAGAAAAGAACATTCAACTTCTGCTTAATCTAATAAAATATTACTTAAAATTAATTTTTTTCTCTTTTGTAAGTATACACTCAGTGATTTCTGTCTTTCACTGATTGGCCAATACTTTTTTGCATCACTATGCAAAAAGTGGCAGAGGCAACAAAAGGTGAAATAATGCCATGATGACAATAGAAAACCTAAATTATTTTCCCAATATATTTGGTTATTTATTTAGATTCACATGCCATGATCTGGGGATAGTTAGGTAACACATGGGACAACTTTGCTGCTACTTCTGTCATGACACATTAATGCACCAGATTTTTCTTTTAGCTAGTGAGAGCTTTTTATCTCTCTTGCTTTAACTGTATCTCCCTTGTCACATTGATGGCTGGATCTTAACTACCATCCCACTGCCCATCTCTACTTCACAATGTGTGTCTTTCTGCCTCTCTAAATCTCTACTGATGCACTGCCACCACCAACAGGTGGCTTCATTACTGACATTTCTAACTCTGACTCTGTGACTGGAATTTCCTAACTCCTGGCTAAGTAGCGCTTGATCCCAAAAGTTTTAATTTATCTACTTACTCTATTTCCTTTCTATTTTTGACAGTAATTGATTGTCTTGAAGATCTTACTTTGCAGGATTTACTGCTGGTCATAAAATACCAGACTGTTCAGTCTCAAATAAAATAATTCACAGTTCACTTTATAGCTGGGTTCAATTGTGTCATACTGAAATGAATCTGTCTCTGTACTACCCAGTCTAGGTATTGAATTCACAATTTATTATACAATCAAATTTATGAACCAGTGCTTTAATTCATAGGATATTTACTGTGAAATATTTTCTCAAACCATGTTACAAAACCATAAGATATTTTTTCTTTCTTTTTAATCATTTCACCTCAAGCAAGGCAATAAAGCCACTAAGGAGGTTACTGAGTGTGAGAGAATATGAGAAAGAACAATAAAAGAACTCATAATTACTACATAGTCAAATTCACAAACCAATGCTATTGTCCCACTTGGCTATAACCTACCAATATAAATAATTTCATTTTATTTTAGTTTTCCTTAAGCATATTTCTGAAATCTCCTTCTTTGGTAACTACCCCAATTTTCCCTTAATTCTTTCCTTTTCTCTGCAGCCTGGTCTCAAGTGGAACTCATACATACAATCCATTGCTAAAGATGCAAGTAAAGTGGTGGGATTCTTATACCGCTCCAGTAAGTACCTGACTCCTCATGCTATCCTCTATATTTATAAGAACCAGATCAGGCCAAAAATAGTGCTATTGCCATATTGGGGCAAGCGCTGCCCAAACCTTTATAATGTATATTGGCCATCAAACTCACATCCGACCTCAAGTGGAATTTCTATATACAACCCATTGCTAAAGATGAAGATAAAATGATTGGCTCCCTATACAACTCCAATAAGTATGTGACTCCTAATGCTATCCTCTAATTTTATAAGATCCAGATAAGGCTGAAAAATGGAGTACTGTTGTCATATTTCTGTTGGGAGCTGCACAGACCTCACTTTCCAGGTTTGATAGAGTTCAAAAGCATGTCCAAGTCCTTGTTGGAGAAGAATTATTTTTCACCCTCCAACCTCTCTCTTACAGGTGGGATGAGATGAATCTTTCACTGCTCTATCGCTACTTTCATGGAAAGTGCTTGGGCAAACAAGGTCTAATGTTCATGGCCAGGACCCACCATGACACACATTGTAGCAAACCACCCATATTCGATCTGTATTCCATTGGCAAGATATAAGTTTTGCTCAAACAACTTCTTCCTGTGAACTACTGTTCTGGGGAACAGATTCCCAAAGGGGATGTTTCTGACCCCCCACCACCACAATTGCTACAATTTTAACCTGTTCAAGTCTTAAAGTCAGCATGAACAGATGTCCCCTCAAGGAGGTTCCATGTTTTGTGTCTTCCAAGAGGATGTTTCCCAGATCACTACAATCTTAACTTGTTCAAGTCTAGGGTTAACAGTTATCTTCCCTTCCTATCTGAACAGATTGCCTGTTAATGTCATCTTCTACCTTGAGTGGACCCTGGCCCTTGTACAGGATGAAACTTACTGTAAAAAAAAAATGAAAAAAGATGAACAATCCTTTGAAGATTCTCTTAAACCACTTTAGAATTGCTTCAAAAATTGTGCTAAATTAAAACTGCCTATCAACCTTTTTGCACACGCATTCAACAAAATATATTTAAAATTAAGCCTGCTGCTTCCATAATCACCAGTTACTCAATTTGGCAAAAGTGCAAGCCAGTACAGGTTCCTATGCAAGTACAAGAGTAGTCAGAAATAAAACCCTTTTCATTTAAATAGACTTCATATTAATTAATATAATGACCCCAGGTTTCTATTCACACTAGTTCATTGATATCTTATGACTAGGACTTTTTTTTTTTTTTTTTTTTAAGTGTTTCACCCCCAAGCAAGGCGGGAAGCCACTAGGACGCAAGGGGTTACAGAAGATTTGGAGCAAGATCAGATAGGAGTGATAGAGAAAAGGATGAGGAGAAGGATAGTGGATAGATCAAGGCAACTGGAGATGTCAATTGACATTACATTTGAATAGTTGGAGATTATAGCTCTCAGGGAAACTGGAATAGGGAAGGGAGTTCCACAGGCGAGAGGTGCAAGACATGAAGCTATTGGAGTAGAAGAGACAGCTACATTTAGTAGTTTTGACAGTGAAAGGGTGAGAGCGGGATGCCAGCCTCGTAGGGCACTTGAGTTCATGAAGTCTGGGAACCAGAGAATGCAGCTCCTTGGAGCAATTACCATGAAAGTATTTGTAAAAAAGACAGAGGCGACAGTGCGTCTGTGAGAGAGTGACTGTAGACGAGATGCCAGAACAGGGCCAATTATATTGCATATCTGCCTCTGGAGCTTATCAAGAACCCCGAGGCAAACAGAAAGGGGCTCCAGACCATATATAGCAGCAATCCACAAAAATAATAATCATTCTTTTTTTATGTCTTGCATCCTTTCAGGATATGGGTGATAATGGTTCTCCACACCTTCCTCTCCTTTGTAGCTTTTAGCAATATTTAATTTTTTTACTATTCTTTATAATCTCTGATTTGTTATCCATTTACACGATCATGTTAGATAGGCTACTCAGTTTCATTCTTCATTTCAATCTGTCCTGTGAGTGTCGAATTTTGCAAACCTTCTTCCCTCATTATGTGTCCTTGAAATTTCAACTCTCACTGATTCTAAGTGTAAGTGTTCTTTTTGGTCCTATTTTCCTTAAAATAACCTTGTTACTTACATGTTCCATCCATGGCATTGTCAGCATACTTCTGTAGAATTACATCTCTGTTGCCTCATCTCCTCTTCATCTTTATCTGCCTTTTAAAAGAAATTTCAGTTTCCAATATTTGGGCAATATTCCATTAGTGAGATATAAATTCCACTTGTGCAGCTTTCTTCCGACAAACCACTGCTTTGTAGAACCGACTTCTAAGAGGATGCTTCCCAGATCACTACCATCTTAACCTGTTCAAATCGGGTTAACTGTTATTTTCCTCACATATCCCCATAAACTGTGCCTCTTACTCTGTAACCCTCTATCTTATAGGCCTTATACAGAGTGAACATCACTGTAAAAAAAAAAAAAAAAAAAAAAAAAGACAGGATATAAGGTTGTTTCAACTCTGTGGAAGAAGCATTGGATGTTTTAGAAGTAAAGGTCTGAACTGGTAAAACTAAAGAATGGAGCTCATCTGAACATTTGTCTTGGAAATAGTAGTGATAGGCTTGTGATGTTGCATCCATGGAAAAGAGACTATAAAATGATTTTTAACTTTATCAAGAGTGTATTAGTATAGATGTGACACTTATTTATTCTCATAGAAACTACAACAGATACATTGACTGTGATAATGCCATAATTAAATGAAATAAACCACCTCTTAATTGCTGGTGTTCCCAGGTCCACCCTGACCCGGGGTGGTAGCACCTGTTAGGGTCCCAGCTATGGGCAAATAGTTAACTATTACCAGCAATATAATTTTGAAGGAAATATATTACCAGAAACAGATTTTTGACAAAACAAAATATTACCAGCAATAAAATTTTTTGTCAGAATTAAATAACCCATTAAGGTTGATATGGAGTAAAACAAACCAAACCAATCTAAACCAAAGAATACATACTCTATTCATACGAATCTATCCTAAAAATATTGTTGGCATTAAATTACCCATTGAAGTTGATATGCCATAAAACAAAATAAACCAAACCAATCTAAACCAAAGAATACATATTCTATTCATACAAATCTATCCTAAAAATGTTGTTGGCATTAAATTAACTCATTGAGGTTGATATGCCGTTAAACAAAATAAACCAGACCAAACCAAAACATCAAC